CAAGCCCGATCGATCATTAACTATTTTGCACCATATATATTTTTGCTTAACATAACTCTTCATTTATTTTCCGGAAAAAAGCAGGGGCTACAGCTTGTTTTCAGAACAAAGCGCATTCATTCCATGGGAGCCCTTATACGTAAGTTGGCCCTATTTGTGAAGTGACGTGGCTCAAATTTAGCAAATTTAATTTTGTTGCCAACGTTCTCATAAGAACCCTTATACTGGGTAGCCAAACAAAAAATGGACTTACGTGGCCAAATTTGCTGCAGTTAATTTTCATATCAAATTCCTTTTATAATATGAATCAATTTTCGTTATAAAATTCTACAAATCAGATCAATCTGCCATAGAAAGGCTTACTTTTCGTAGGAAGGGGGTTTAGTTCATCTGTCTCAAATTTTTCCTGTCATACATACGAATAGCATAGCACACGAAAATACAATGTGTCAGCTTTTTTTGTTACAATATGTCGGGCATTTGCAAATGTTTTTCATAAAAGGGCCATTCCAAAGTAAGGTATTCGACGGGTTTGATAAATAATTGCAAAACCGTTTCGTTCAAATGCATTGTCAAAACATGTCAATATACTAAAGTTTAGTGGAACTAACTCAAAAATTGCGGTTTGTGGGTTGGGCACAAAAACATGGGATGGACGGGCGTGCTTAAATCGATTAAGAAAATGATTCTGAATTGATCGATACAATAAAATCGGTTTTAAAGCAAATGTATAGTAAGCTTTTCTCCAAGTTACCAAGCACCCACACAAACTTTCTATGCCTTATACTACAAATGCGATGGACTATAAAAATTCCTTACAACTTCTCTTCATATCTATCATTGTATGATGGGGGGTGTACTCATTTTGACATAATGTTTGCAACACCAAGGAAGAGAGCTTCAGAGACCTTGTAAAGTGTACATACTCTTAACCATCATGAAATTTTGAATTGATTAAGCCAGGTCTGTCCGTCTGTGCCTGCGTGGTATGTATTTTTGACACTCTCCCGGTCGCAAATATAAGGGAATCGACTTCAAATTTAATAAAAACATTGAAGGTGTTTGCACGCAGCTTGCTATTGAAAATGGACCAAATTGACCAGAACGTAAGCCCGCCTTGAAGTGTCAACTAAACGAGACTCCGCTCACAACCTAATGGATTAACATTTTTGTTACAATAGCGTTGATATGGGTATCAAATAAAAGAACTTGAAGAGTATAATGCGACAAGATAAGTATGTTTATACTACATTAGTGTGGTGAACGTCACGATAAGTTGGATAAATTTGCGGATTTGCGGATAGAAACGTCGTCCATATGGGTACGAAGTAAAAGTGCTTGGAGAGTAGAATGCGAAACGTCAAGTGTGTCAATTCTAAATTAGTTACGCTAGTCGTCACGAAGTAAAAGGTAAAAGATAAACTTTATCCCACTTACTTTTTTATGGCAAGCATGAGATGTCAAAGATTTTAATGGTGGTGAATGTGCGAGATTCGACTCTAGTCGAATATAAATTTCTTACTTGTTTTTTTGTTTTTTTTCTTTTTTAACCGACCAGTAGTCATTCACTCATTGGATGCAGTGATACTCTATGCTTTGCGTGCAAGCACCATAGTTGTCAGAAAGGATTTTATAGGGATATAATTAATAAGTTTGCTGCGGTATTTTTAGAATTTAGAAAGTGAACGATCAACTCGCTTACCGCAAAGGGAAACTTCTAAAATGGCGAAAATCGATAGTGTAGCAGGTTTATTTACAATAATACTACTTTTAAGCGTAACAAAAGGACTAATATACAAATATATATTGTGGGCATACATAGATGAAGTACAAGCACGTATATAAGCAATAAACGAAAATGCATCTAAATATTGAATCCTTAGTGGGTTATGCTAAATGGCATAATAGCGAAGATAAATAATTGGGTCGAGTATAATTGTCTGACGATTTGAAGGTCGATAACGTCTATCGTCGTACAATACGAACCACCTATGCTAAAGAGTATAGTATACAAGCAGCTCGCATAACAATAAACAAAGCAATATAACTTGCAATCTTTAGTTATGTGGAACTCAAATTTTATGCGTATGTCAGGGGTTCAAATAAAGCGTTAAATTGTGCCTTCTTTGCATATCAAAGCGTTATTCTTGAGCTTTAGAGAGTAGCACAAAAACTAGAGCAGTGCTTGCTCTGCTTAGCTGGATTACGATAGTTAAATTATAAAATTTTAATTGCACCTCGGATGAATTCCCCGTGACGTCTGGCGTACCTCAAGGCAGCCACTTAGGTTTATTTTATTTAATTTATACATTAATGATCTCCGATCGGTGATTAATTCCAGTCAGATCTTAAAATACGCTGATGATGTGAAAGTGTTTTCTTCTTTCTCTCTAGAATCGCAATGACATAACCTTCAAAGCGACTTGAATAATTTGGTTGCATGGTGCTCTTTGAATCTTCTGAAACTAAATCTGAGTAAATGTAAGAAGCTTTCATTCTCAAGAAGAAAGTCATTAATTACTCAGTATTTCATAGATTCGCATAAGTTGGAGGACGTCGATACATTCACAGACTTAGGCGTTCTATTTGACCATAGATTATATTTTAACTTGCACATTGAGCTCTCGTTAAGCAAAGCTAGGTCCGCGCTTGGTTTTATAAAGAGGTGGTCCAAAGAACTTGATGATCATTACATTACTAAAAGGTTGTACATGTGTTTGGTTAGATCTATACTTGAGCATGCCTCTGTTGTGCAGTCCCTTTCATATAGGTGCTATGTAGATTCAATTAAATCTGTTCAAAAGCAATTCTCGCTCTTGGTTGGAATCCGATTGCCTCTCTTCCCCCCTATGAATATAGGTTGCCTCTGTTGTCCTTACCGTCTCTCGAGAAATGTAGATTTTTTCTTGGCGTTTCCTTCGTAATCAAAGTAATAAATGGTGCTATATACTCGCCTTTATTACTTGGTGAAATAAGTTTTAATGTCCCCAACCGCTTCTCTAGGCACTTTATCTTGATAAAGCTTAGTCAATGCAAATATAATTACGAACAGTTTAACTCGCCCAGAGTTGTTTGCAAGAACCTAAATTATGTCTATTACTTATTCTCATTATCGGACTCTTTAAAGTCCATTAAAGCAACATTGGTTAATACGCGTAATTTACTTATGTCGTGCTTAAACTAGCTCTTAACCTTAAAATATGACGATGAGTCGAAAATGAATTGTTGGTAACTATTATCGGTTGCCAAGCTTATGCATGTTTGCGATGGCTTAAGGGTTCAATGCGATTTGGTCCTGTACCGGTTGTGGATGTGGCTAATTGCTAGTTGTGTACATGTTTTTTTTCTTTTTTTCCTTCTTATTTGTTTTATTGTACTTACACTAAGTTTTAGTATTAATTAATTTAAGATTTACTTTAAGAGTTAATTGAACTCGACTGTCAAAATTTTTAGTTGAGTTTCTTGCATAATTGGAATAAATAAATAAATAAAGTGCAAAACGATACGTAGCAGATTAGACCGAAAGTAATATAAAATGTTCGTACTATTGACATTTAAGACGATTGACTAGGTGTAGCTGAACGTGAGTTGCTGCAATCTAACGTCACGAATCACAACTGATTGTCGTTATATTCTCGGTAAAACAGCGTACGACCCCGTAGGGCGTAGGAATTTTAGAAGTACTGAAGCCGGCTGTACTACCTGGCTCGTTTAATAGATCAGACGTTGCTTCTTCCGATGAACATTAGTTGTCATTGATGACTTGTTGTCTATTCGGGGAAGACTTCCGTTCCAATGAGGATGCTTAAAGAAAAGAATGTCTAATGTGAATAAGGTAAAAAGATTAAATGTCCTTTCGGCAAGAGCGTAGCTCATTGACTTGCGCCAGAGAGATAGGCAAAATATGTATTTTTTTATCAGTTTCTTAAAATAATTGCTTTTTTCAATTAAAAAACAAGTTATTTTGAACTTCTAACATGTGATCGGATTATTTGCAAGCTAAGTGCAAGAAAAGGATATGATAAACGGAAGCGCTATAAGTAACATATTTTAACTCAAAAGATTCAAAGTCATTTGAAAGTTCAATGCAAAACAATCCTAGCTAATCACCTAGCGCTCACATTTAGAATATAGTTTACATATAAAGCATTGATGCGACAATATGAAAGATCACCTCCGCGTCGAATATATTTTATGGGGGGAAAAAGAGAGGATTTGGAAGGAAGGTTGTTATCCCAAAAAAAAATTTTCAGTTCGAAAATATAATCTCATGTAATATAAAAAAGAAATGGGCAGGGCTTGGATGAGTGGTGATTGCACTAGGGTTTCATATTTTTTGTCGAGCCGAATTTCTTCGTGTATGAAAAATGGCTATGTTCTTTTTGGAGAAAACATTCTGTGGACAGCAAGGAAATAAATGTCTTTATTCGACAGAAAGGTCTTGCCACCGAAACTAAGCGTCTTCCTATCACAGAACACGCAGTTTCATCCAAAACCTACGTTTGAAGGCATTCTTTAAATTTTCTCCAAGAGCCTTATTTTAAGAGGCGAAAGGTCGAATTAATTACTCTCTTGTATGTTGATTATAGAGTGCATGAGACGTAGTGCTAAACTCTGCATATCTTTAATAGACGGGATATATCTTGTATACTTTACTAATAGCTAATTCGAGCATTTATTACGCTTTTGTGAGTACTCCGTGTTCCGTCCTATTGACACATTTGAACCTAAACAACAAAACTAGATAGAAAATTATCTTGAAGGACAATAGCGCCACCTTTAGGTGAAAATGATTTCCATTCTTTACTCGTTAAGCTTGTGTCCACACAAAATGTGTCTGTCCAGTTTCACCTTGGAATTTGTGCAGGTAGTTGCAAAATCTCCTCACATTTTTATTATAATTTTTCTTTAATCTCTAATAAATTGTAACCTTAAGTTAGTAACATATTCATCTGTTAACCATTTGTTTAATTATTTTCTTTGTACATTTGCAATTTCAGCTTTGGCATGTTTCATGACACAGCTAAAATAGGCTGCCATCCACGTGTTGGATCTATAGTGCACATAATGACACCAACTTTTGGGGCCGATACTTTACAAGTTTGCTGGTCAAACTGTAGCCGTAAATTTATAACACATTTTCTAGAGTAAGACTTTCATCTTCGAATACAATTGATTGACCAAATATTTATTCATTTATTCTTTTTTGAATTGCAGTCAAGGTCTTGGTGAATGTTTAGATGATGCTCCAACACCGCTTGACAAGTACATATATCCAGATCAGTTGCCGGGTTTGCTGTATAATGCCGAGGAACAATGTCGTCTTCAATATAATGTTAGTGATAGCGAGGTGCAGGCATGTTCATCGATGAATGAGATTTGCTCGACTCTATGGTGCCGGGTACATGGTGAATGTATAACTAATATGCGGCCAACAGCGCCGGGTACTATATGTGGAAAACGTAAGGTTTGTTGCGGTAAATTTCAGGAATACTCTTCCCCGATAGCATAAATCCGATGTAAAAAAATGAATTGTATTTTTATTCTATTATTTCGTTATCTATTTTGAATGTTAGTGGTGTCAAAATGGACACTGCGTGCCTATAGAACAATTAACACCAATAACTGGTGGCTGGGGTTATTGGTCCGAATGGAGTGAATGTTCACGTTCCTGCGGCGGTGGTGTCTCCATCCAGCATCGTGAATGTAATAGTCCTATGCCAGCTAATGGTGGTGCCTTCTGTATAGGCGAAAGAAAAAGGTACCCTCATAACTCATCGTATATGGCATAGCTGCTTAAAAAATTTTCATTTGCCCTCTAGATACAAAATTTGTAACTACGAAACATGTCCAAAAGAAGAGCCCAGCTTTCGCGGTCAACAATGTGAGAAATACAACAATGTTTCGTATCAGGGAGCTCTTTACAAATGGTTGCCATTTTTCGATAAAAGTAAGATTGAAACCGTAAAAAAATGTATTAAAAATTTTCTGAAAATTTTCTCGCTTTCGTAGATAATCCTTGTAAATTGTATTGTTCGGATGAGGATGATACCATCATTGCCAATTGGGGTGATACTGTACTCGATGGTACCCCGTGCACATTGGGAAAAAACAACATGTGCATTGACGGTATTTGCAAGGTGCGGTTAGAAGAAGTAAAATTTTGCAAGTTTCCTTTTAATGGAACCGGAAATGTTTTTTAGAAAGTTGGTTGCGATTGGATTGTTGACTCTGACATGCAAGAAGACCGTTGTGGTATATGCGGCGGATCTGGGGAGCATTGCAAGACGGTTAAAGGCTCTTTCAATGAAACGATTAAAGTCAATGAAGGTTACGTAGAAGTAGTGGTGTTACCAGCTAAAGCCCGGCATATAGTTATCAAGGAGCTGGATAATTCACCACATTTTCTAGGTATTGCTCAAGCAAACAGTAGTCGTTTCTATTTGAATGGCGATGGTTTGATATCGATGCCGGGCGAATTTGTAATAGCCGGTGCTGAAAGTTTATACGATCGCGAAGACGAACAAGAAACGATACAAATACCGCAAGCCATACAACATTCCATTGCTATTTATGTAAGTCTCGATAATTGAATTCTTTCGACTTGTTTTTATACTCACTACTAAGCAACAAGTCAGAGAATTATATTCGGTTCTGACCGAATTTATTATACCCATCACCGTGATCCTAAAAAATACGGTCAAAGTCAAAGAACTCAATTTTCATGCTCTCTAATGTGGTGTGGACGCGCCTGACTTTTTCTATTTTCAAAATGATAGCTTTTGTCGTACAGGCGGGTGGAAGTTGTAGGCATGTCCTTGGAAAAGTTTAAAACGCTTCGAAATTCTCGTCCAAATTAGAAGTGGATAGCTGCCAGGAGAATTTTGAAATAGATGATACATAGACGGACAGGCGGACATGCTTAAATTGAATCAAAATTTAACGCTGATCAAGGATATGTAGACTTCGTGGGGTCTTTGAAGTTTCCCTCTAGGTGTTGTAAACTTTTAGACAAAATGATCCTTTAGTGATGTATATAAAAATAAATATGAAATTTTAGATAAATATAAGGAATGATATAATTAAATTTTATCGAAATTGTCATTACCTGCAGTTGATTGTCAGGAGTGATGAACCAAGTGCTGGGATTTATTATGAATTTACTTTGCCAGCTTTGAATGCTAGCTCTTCAAAGCAATATTTATGGCGGTTAAGTGAATGGACCGCATGTTCGGTGAGTTGTGGTGGAGGTTTACAATACCAAGAACCCATGTGCTACGAAAATGATCAAGGTACAGCGAAATTATCGGCTATTTTACTCTTAATTATCGCATCCAAATGATATTTTGGTTATTTTTAGTTATTCCCGATAGTGAACTATGTTGGGCATTTGCTATAAACGCTAGGCCAGAACGTTTAAATAGGAAATGCAGTGATATAACATGTCCCGCACATTGGTGGACGGGCCCCTGGCAGTTTTGTCCTGTGTCTTGCCGATCGGAAAACGCTCCTCTACCAGTCAGAAGACGTAGCGTTATGTGCCTAAATCAAAATGAAATTTTACTCGACGACGATGAATGCAATCCTTCAACACGGCCGGCAGATGTTGAATATTGTGAACAGAATTTACCCGATTGTCATGTTGCGGAAAAATTACAAAATTGGATTGGCTTGGAGTTAAAAACAAAAAAGAAAGCATAATTCTCACTTTTTTACTTTCGAATGTTTTGTTAGTTTTTTTTGTTAAAGAGTTTAAAACGTTTGAATGAATGTCGGATTCATAATGAGAGTGTTTTCAATTCAGTCAATGAATTAAATTGAATGCTAGATCCTTAATAATTGGTATTAAAAAAAAAAAAAAACACCTTAGATTTTAAATCTCATAACTAAGTGAACGCAATATCGTCTTAATAATATTTATTTATTATATTTATTTATGTGTATCGTACACTGGATATATTTGTATTTAAATTAAATTTTGTGTACTTAACTTTTTTTTTTCGGTATATTTAATAAAGATTTCAGTATAGACGAGATTATAACTAAATTGAAATATTGAATATTCATTATGTGAACTTTTGAGAAGGATCAATAATATTTAAATACAATTAATTATTTAAGCAATTTTTCTATAAATACAATTAAAATAAAATTTTACATTAGATTTTTACAAAGAAAAATTATGTTCTGCTTGATTCGAATGCCTTTATATCGAGAACCTTTAATGAAGCGGAAAACGTCTCCAAACCAAGGTCAGCTCACGATTCTCTCCGTCAAAATGTCGTACAATACGAAAGACAAAAACGATACGATTGCGATTCAAGTTAATGGTACTCGCTTGCGTTCTTATTAAGCTGGTCTTTTCCTTTGGTGCATTTATAATGGCATCTTATACCCTACACAATTTATGATACAGCGTATATTAAGGTTGCACATACGAATGTAACACGCAGAAGCGCTTTAGGTAGACTCACGTTCTGTTTTCCCGATTAATTTCGCATCATTTTCTGAATCAATCTAAGGCTGCCTGTCTATCTGCCCGTCTGATGTCTGCCCATGTAAATATTTGTTTAAGCTATGTTTAAGATATTTTGATGAAATTTGATTTGCTGGTGTGTTTTCATCCAAGAACGAACACTATTGAAAATGGTTTGGATCGGTCCACTTTTTCGACCACTCCCGATATAATGCCATATTCTGAAAGATCGGTATATGGGAAAAATTGCAATTTTCAAAATTTCTCGACTATCTTGCCTAAATAATAGTATTTCGGTATTCTAAATTGGCATAAAAACTTTGCATCGGCTAGGGCAACATTTGATCACTCTCTCGTATAATGAAAATTGAAGTACATATGAGAAAAAGACCAATTTTTTTTTGTAAAATTGACCACGAAATTATGTTTAGTTTTTAATATGTTATGATGAAAATTAACCCCTAGAAGCAATTTGACATAAAAATTAATTCTACAAACTTTCATCGATGTATGCCTATTTTTAGATCCTACCTTATATAAGGATTTATACGAAAAATTGGCTTTTTTTAGGGCAGTAAGATCAAATCTTTAATATTTTATGATAACAATTGACCCATAATAGCAGTTTGAAATCAAAAATTAACTATGATGAATTTTGATTATGTACCGTAATTTTCGAATCCCTTGGGCGCAACCATTCTCATGGAAAGTAAGCCTATGTTTGCAAAGAGATCCACTTTTTAATATATAAATCCTATAAACATAGGGTCTGATTTTTGTGTTCCATAGTAAAACTAAGAATTGTGTTAGATAATGTGGTGCAAAGTGTTTTTGTTGACAGCCTAGCCCGACTATAATGTTTTCACTTGACACGATATCATTGGTGTATAACAAAATAGTACAAAGAAGAGGAAGAGAAGTAAATAAATAAACCTTGAAAAGAAACTTCCTGAAAAAGTTGAAATCCATCAAAAATATATATAAAACAAACTTTAATATATTGAATTAAATATATATTCGAATATATCAAATTGAACTAAATGTATTAGCGGCTCCCACGATGTTTACAATTTTCATATTAAATTTGCTTGGCTATATGCCTGAGACTAACTAATATTTCTATGGCCATTAATTTAATTAAATACGTGTTTTTATGATAATATTATATTTTACTCTATGTTTGCCTTTGACTCTGAAAGCAGAAGTAGCTATCGAGCTAAAATATGACAATTGAAGTTCAATATCGGGCAAATACCATATCCTATAGAGTCTCACCAAGCCAAACTTGTAAATTCGATATCGAGTTCGATCGATAATGAAAAACCGTAAACAAACCGCGGGTTAGATCTTGATAGAGTTTTCGTATTATACGAAGCAAAGAATTGAGATAAATTTCTTTCAAATTGTTTTCTTAAAGGGTAATATAAATTAATATGAATAAACTAAAGTTTTTTTTCGCTGTCGAAAATCAATACTAAAGGGAGATTTTTTTTTGTTTGTTAAGGAAAGTATACATTGCCTGAGAAAATTCATCTAAAATGCACGCTCCACAGAATCATTGGTTTTAACTTTTTCTCCTTCACCAATGCTATCGTCCTTGGAATTATGATGGAATAGTGTTTCTACATATCTCTATGTAATTAGTTGCAGCTCGTGATTTAACGGTTAAAGTAAAGAATTATATTCACATTTCAGCACTTGTGATATAAAGGTATATTAAGTTTGTGCAAATGTATACAACACTCAGAAGAACTTGAAATAGACTCATCTTTTATTATATCGATCTTGTCTCTTCGTCTGCCCGTATTGTTTTCTTGTCTTCACTCTACAGGACGCAATTTTTGAGATATATTGAAGAACACCTGAATATCGCCGCTAAAGGCGTATAACGCCATATTTTGAACAGCCTTGTATGGAAAAATTTACACCTTTTCGTCAAAATTTTTCGTGTATTATCATTTTGTCATTTTGAATTGGTATGAAAAGTTAGGTACGGTTTGAGAAATTTTGTGAAGCCCTCGAATCTCATATAAGCATTCCTAGGAGAACGAAATCATTATATGGTAAAAAAGTAAAATTTTCCATATCTCATGGTGAAAATTAGTTCATAATAGTAAATTAACAAAGAAATCAACCTTACCCAATTTGGACCACGAAGGTCTATTTTTTGGGTGCCACCGCATATAAGGATTCTGAGGAATGCCGACTGTTATATGCCAAAAAGGACTAATTGTCAATGTTTTATGATGAAAACTTGTTTATGACAGTAATTTGACATAAAAATTAAGTGAACCACATGGGTTGATTTCTTGGACACCACTCCACAAGAGGTTTGCCATGAATAGAAAGCTTTTCAGAAAAAGGTTTAATTTTTAATATTTTATGATGATAATTGGCCCACAGTAGCAAAATAACCAAAAAAAATTAAGAGTAGACAATTTGGATCCTCTAGGTCTATTTTTTAGACCCTACGTACATAACATATATAAGGGTCATGAAAAGCAAGCTCTTATATGGACAGGAAGTACAATTTCTAGGTTTCCGTGACGCAAACTGGAAAGTAATAAAATGTTTGAGAAGTAAATTAAGTTTGCTAACTTTGGATCGTGTTTGGATGATGTCATGCTCCAATATGCGCGCTCTCAGGACAAATATGCCTTTGCTTGAACATAATGTTTAATATTTGATGTATTATTACCAAAATAAGCGAATAAGTATTCTAGACGAATTGGAGTAGGCTATTAAATGGCCAGCTTAGCTGAACATTGATTTCGGAAACTTAAGATTTATTCGTAAATTCCCCTCGGAAGGAGAATTTACTTATTTGACGTTCACATGACGCTCCTTACCTTCAAGCAAACCGTTCTGTTGAAGCCAATGAAAATACTCCATTATTTCGACTATGGCTTCTGCTTCATTTTTAGTGAAAGGGTTAGAAAAATTGAATATTTAAGTCCGAATATTTTTATTCGTCGACGCCGCTATACTCGCTGAATGATAATTTAACGGGTCGTTAATGTTGCCTGCCTTAGTTGCAATTTTGTGATGATCAACAAAATAACTTTAACGAGTAACGGTAGCGTGGAATACTTTTCCAGCAGATAGTTGGCACATTTTGGGCCCAAAGTTTTGCCACCGAACTGAAGTTTTTGAACAATGTTTGCAATCGTTTTTTTTTTTCAAATACTTCGGAATTCGGGTAACAAAACATATTTTAATGCTTTGTACATATGTCGATCAGGTGGAGTTTTATTGACTCACGTGACTTACATTGTTGAGGACATCGCTCTCGACCAATCGAACCAAGCCATGTGGTGTCCTGGAATAAAGGATTTTCTTTCCATTTGATTGAGCCGACGGCATAGATTGATATTTCCGAATGATCTTATCTTTATCGCAATATATCAATGCGATATATTTGCTTGATATAGTAAAATTGGCAGTAATACTAGATTATTATATACATGTCGCTGGCATCGCATTGACGCTAATAATATGCAGCATTGTAGAAAAAGATACTCCTCCGTTAAGTCTTTATTCAAAGCTGTGGAAATATTTATTACTCCCCAGAACTATTTGTAAGGGAGGTGGACCGAATATAATGGATTGAATTCGCATGTGGTAGCCGATTGAAACGGAACGGCATCGACTCGTTTTTGAAGAGATTCATGCAGGGCTATAAAAAGTGGTTGAAATGTGACAATAATGTGCGAAAGGTTGAAGTACAAACTGTGTCAAGATCATGACTGAAGATGCGTATGGCATTTGGTCTCTACTTGGTAGCTTTGGAAATGAATTGTGAGTTGATTAAACCGAAACAGACCATTGGTTTTAGTCTTTACCATAAATAAGAATTTAAGTGCACAATTGCTATAAAGCGCTCGTAACCCTATAAATTGAACGAGCTTGGCGGGTAATTTTCGATTCGCGCATTGTGTGGCCCCGACTTTGCCCACCTTGGTCACCACGGAATTATTGTAATGAAGAAAAGTTGAATTCAAAAGACGCCTGGGAAAATCATTTGTAGCGGCTGTTCCTTAAAAAACGCAGAGAGTCTACAATAATGATTTAATAGTTTCTTGGTAGGATAACGGCAAACTATCGTCGAACTGAATGATATATAGTTGGTTGAATAAATTTAGTTTAAAATATATGAGAAAGATGTGTTTGAATTTTATTTAAACAAAAGGCCCAAGTTTATGCAATCTCCTGAGGCATTTCGTGTTGTACGAGGATTTTTGAGGATGTTTGATTTCTGCACGATGCTAGAGTTAATTCATCCTATAAAAGTTTCGTGTTACGCAGGGGTTGCCTGTATATGTGCGTTATATATACAGCTAGAGTAACTGGAACAAGTATAAAGTTAACGAACAAGAGCAAAGTTAACGAATAAGAAATGCTTGCAAAAAAACACGCCGTCACGGCAGTGAGACAAACTCTGTCGTACACCAGTATTAGATTTCCGATAAAACAAATCAGCCGATCTTTTAAGCTTATAATAAGAGTAAAGCCGCTGCCGTATAACTATCAGTGCTGTTTATTACTCCTGCTGAGACTTAAAGCGAGAAAAAGAGTTCAGGCTGCTTACCGTGATAAATTGAAAGACCCGACGATTTTTTTTGTTAACAAATTTTTTTATTTTCTCTTATAAGTAAATGAAACCTATAAAAAACTAACCTAATAATACTAAAACGTACTCGCGTAATCGACAAAAAGGAAACATATTAAAGAACCTTGTGAAATGTATGAGTGTGGTGGCAATGACCTATGAAAACGAAAAACTAGATGACTCTCGGATATGGAAGGCTTATCTGTATATTCGTTTATTGTTTACTAGGAATAAATGAACAAGATCAAGATTTTACCAAGAAAATTACGTTAAACGATGCGGCTTATTTTTATCTATCTGACAGGTGAACAAGCCAAAGTTGTCACACATTTGGGGTTTCGAAACTCAAGAGATAAAGCCGGATAATTTTTCTAATCACAACGAGCGATATTTTGGTGCGGTTTTTATCGGTGTGGTGTAGTTGAGCTACATTTTTTCGAAAATTTTTCTGTTCGTGATAAGATATGAACGAGATGGGTTTCCGCGCCACTGTACGCATAGTTGATGTAACAATGACTTCATCACGCGATTGATTAGATTGATCACCTCCTGCTGAAGAAGCCTACACTATGCGGGACGAAACTTGAATATCCACCGCCTCAAGACGAGTAAAGCGTTTTTGTTAATTGTGAGGACTGATTTGATTGATCGTGACTGCCTTTAGATTCAACATGTAGCGCCTGTAGTGCTTTTATTATTGACTAGCGGTAATACAAATCCACGCTAAGCGAATTTTCGTGTGCCGTTTATTCTTAGAAAGCTTATGATCGCAAAAATTGAATTACAACGCTAGTATATATGCTTACGTGATGTCAGTTGAAGGCTACAGAGCCACTGAACATTGCTACAACTACGCCTATAATAAAGGAAAGTATATCCTACGTTAATCTAAAATGTTATATGTATCTTATACATCTCGGGCCATTGTAAGAGTTAGTGTAAAAGTGGTTTCGATTGGGTAACTGATCCATCCAATATTAATTATTTCGTAATTAAGTAGTGGGTATAAAAGGGTGGCGCTAAGGCAAATATAATTTCTTTAATTTTTTTTGCTATGTTAATTTCAATCTCTCAACGTCTCCCTTATACTTATTTTACACAAAAGAGAAATATAAAGCTTGAAAAATAAGTAAAATACTCTTCAGAAGAGCACCTCGGCTCACTTAACATTAATAGACGATAGTCCTCGAATTTTTGGATTTTGTGCGGAATCACAAACACGTGATTTTAAATTACAACCAAAATGAAAAGTGACGATCGATATGAAAGTTTTGTAATCTAAGAAGAATGCCTAGAATCTAGTATTATCCGGTAGTTTTATAAAGTATGCTATTTTTTCTTTGGGAACTTTATAACTATGAATCCAACGGCTTCCCTTGCGCAATGAGCCGTCAATTCCGTCTTTCCAAACACCTTGAGGCAAATAAACTGTAATAAATGATAGAAAGAGTGAGAGAATCCGATGGATTAAAAACTATGTTTTTCTCATTTACCTTCTCTTTCTTCTACAGATTTTTCTAGTATCGGTGCTACTATTAGTTCTTCGCCCACTGAAAACTCATCGCTAATACTTAAACAGGCTGGATCATGAGGGTCCAACATCCAGAGGGGCCTTACTAAGGGCAAGCCTTCATTCATTGATTCAGTTAAATATTTTTTAAGCAACGGTATTACAATTGATTTGCGTACATTAATCAATTCCTTCGTAACATCGGTTATGTAATCACTTTTATATTCCGAAGGTAAATGACTGAATTGCATGGCCGGCATAAATGTTATTAATTGCATCCAGCGCACGAATAACTCTTGCTCGGGTAGTGTAGGCTGCGGCAACGAATAAAAAGAAATCATTTTGGTTTTCGATTTGGCCAGAGCGTAATCACCACCAATAGCTCCGGGCAAAATGAATGGATATCCGATGATACCGTAATTTAAGACAGCCGTCATTATTTCCCGTAAGCCGGACCAAGAAGAATTTATAGGCAGCGTACTTAGGAAAGCCGGAGGTTTAGGTGCCCTACTGGCCGTTGAGACGCCTAAAAATCCTATATTCTCTAAGCTTTCCGTAAAAAGTCTGGCATACATATCCGGATTGTCCAGAGTTTGACGGCATTGATAATAATGTGGTAGATTATAACTAGTGCCCAAATCCAAATAAAAGCTATCCACCTTATATTCTTCCTTAAGCTTTTCCAATTTCTCTTTCAACCAAGGTATTGAAACGTTGTTGGTTATGTCCAAAACCCCCGCACTAGACACGCTTTTGTAACGAGTCAACGCAGGTATACTCCGCTCTGAGTGTCGCTCATATATTAACAATTTTTTACGTACAGCATCCTTGAAATTCTCACTGTCCGTACTAATGAAAGGTTGTATAGTAAATACTATTTTGAAGCCTCGTCTATGTAATACATCGATGGTTTCTTTAAGTGTTGGAAATCGGGATATATCTACCGTGAAATCTCCAATGTTTTCTTGCCAAAATTCACTAACCAAAATGTGGCCTAAACGCATGAAACCCATAGCTATAACATCTTCGGAATAATTATATATTGTGGTCTCATTTAAAGAGTCCCATTGATTTTGATGCGGTATCTGCCATACGGGTTCTTCAATTAGAGTATGCAACATCTTAATATCGGCTTCTTTTAAACCATCCCATAAACTTTGCTGGGTCATAAGCATATGCAAACTGCGCATATCCTCGGTGGTACAAATTTTATATTGCAATTCGGGCAATGGGGTTAAACGATTCACGAACGTGAAGTCATCGTTTTGAGCTTTTAAGCAAAACTCATTTGCTGTTGTATTGGCCATAAGGTGTAAAGGACTCTTCTCATTGACCTGAATGGCTACGCCTATAGAATTGATAAAGTAACGCTTAACGCCATTACCAAATTGATGAACTTTCGCATCACCACTTGCATAAGGAGAGAAATCAAAATCTTTGGTACTTAGCGACCATTGCATGTTCTTGCTAATACCGCCGCCAAACCATAAACCATTATCACGAGTTAATTCATAACAATCGATAGGAAATTGATTAGCGCTTAACGCCTGCCAATGTATGGTATAGCAACGGAATACATCCATGTCTTGGAAATTCATATATAAACGAGCGACGCCATTCCATTCTATGCATACACTACCATCTTGTTTACGACGATCTTCTAAGCAATGAAACGGATGACTATCCATATTGATAGTCACACCCAATTGGCCAGACATAACAATTTTATTCTCATGATTCAATATCTTAATAAAACGGTCTTTGGAATTAAATTTGATTTTCTCGAAATAGGAATAAGTTAAAACATGCCGATGATATCCCACATAAGCATAACTTATCTGCAAAGTGAATCAAATTATTAACATAAAAAAAGCGTTTATATGTCAATGTGTGTATGCAGACTTACCAAAAATACTGTTATGAAGAACATCATTATTACAAATATTTTAATTTTATAATCTTTGGTTTCGCGTTTCTTTTTCCGTATCATCTGTGGAAAGGCTTGCATCTTCTCCCTCAAAAGACTCGCCACGGAGTTAACGCTTGTTATAGAGGCTTGGTTACTGGCCAAACTATATGTATCGAAATCGCTCGCTAACATTTCCTTATCATTTAAGCGTAAAGCGGGCAACGGGGCTATCGATGCTCTGCGTTTAGTACGAAATAGGTTACCTCTGGAAAGAAGTAATAAAATAAGACATATGTTAATTAGAAGTGAAAAAACTTTCGCTTCTTTTCATTTCTACTAAACCGAAGTGATGAGGAGTAAGAAAAATTCGTTCATAAACGTGACAACAAAATTTATTATGTGCTTCCTGATGACCCGTTAAAAAAGAACATTTTTTTCCCGTTAATATTCTCCTTTTTTCTTTTTTTTTTGGTTTTCCATGAGGTTTCTCGCTAGTGTCTATTACATATTGTTATGAAAATCCTGCATTTAATAAATGCGTTTGCGCGAAAACAAACCGACTTTCCAAAAAATCAACTCATAAAAACGGTACACAATCATTCATATTTTACCTGCCTATGCTAACCTAAAAGTCCCAATGCAGTGGTACGAACTTTTTCTCAAAAACGAGTTGAGTAGAAAGATAAAATCACAAAGGCATTTTAATTTTAAAATACTTTGCATACAATTAACCATTGAGGGCGCTACATCCGTATACAATTAAGTGTTGAAAAAGATATTGCTTAGGCTATCACAAAAATAGCCCAATTCTAAGTTTTGAATACCCAGACGTCATTTATTTATGCCGATACGAGAGAGGAAGTTCGATGAAGAAGATTTCTCGTTACGTATTTCTTTCGAAATTTCTAGTGGGCGATCTATTATATTAACCGTTTCAGTACCAGACGGTTTTGAAAAAACACTGTCGAAAAATCCCAAGCAGCGCGATCGCGCTGTTTAGATTTTATGTCGAGAAAACCCAGCACATTTCGAGTATTGTCGACAACCGACGGTGCCTTACGTATTGTCGAAGTCGATCCCAATACAATTACAATAGTACTATAGTAGTGCAATAATATATTACAAAATAAAAATTTCTATTTTGGTGTTGTGTTTTCTATAATTTTTGTGGAACAAACTTGAAATATTTATTAACAAACAATTTAAAGGCATTTAAATACATAAAATTAAACAAGCGCTATGGCGCCGCTTGGTATTTCTCGACATCAAACCTAAACAGCGCGATCGCGCTGCTTGGGATTTTTCGACAGTGTGTTATCAAAACTGTCTGGTATTTCTCGACATGAAATCTGAACAGCGCGATCGCGCTGCTTGGTACTCAAACGGTTAAACAAAACTGGATTGTTCTCGTCATTGTTGTTTATTCAGTTTTCGCCAAACTAAAAATTTGACAATTCGTTTCACATTGCTTATGGGAGGGCAAAAACCAATTTTTGGGGTTATAGAGTCATTTTCGTAGGTAGTTAAAAGTGCATTTTCACTGCTGTCTCGTTCGAGCTTATGCATACACATCGCAAATTCGTTGCCTGCGACAATATCGTAAATAATTTCTTAAATGTGGTTTTTTTATGGCACTATTTTCTCTCCGTTAAATTCTGAAGGTACCGAATGCGCTGCGAGCATTGATGTTCAAATGCGCGCGGATAATTAAATAATTACACATCCTATCGATGCTCTGAATCCTACATTAAGCTAGGATTTAACATTTTGTGCATAACATTGATTTCGAATTTCTTGCGAAATAAACTTTTCTGGATAACTCTTTTGAAATTCATTTATCAATGAATTAGAGCCGTGGTTTAGTTTGAAACCGAGACAAGTCGATTGTTGCACTCTGCGATCTCCGTTAAAATTGAAAAATAAAATTATTGAGACTGTTTAAGAGTTTTTTATTTAGTATTTAGTAGTACACAAATTGTGCTCATTGAGGAAAAGGTTCTAATAAAATCCGGCTTTCGAAGGCATTTGCAATTTAACATTTATCCTTACTTTGCTAAAAAAACAGGTTCTCAATTTTCATTGGGAGAAGTAAGGTTTCACTTAGGCCTTCTACATAAAATTTAATATTTTCAAAAGATAAAAATAAAATGAATAAAGATTTCATACCTGAAATCGGCTTCTATTTATTTACCCTTTGCTAGCCCCTGGCACATAACTGAATATATTGCGATTCGAACATTACGACGAACGGTTTTAGAAAATTTTCCTTCGTCAGTCCATCCATCTCTTAATTTTTCCCCCTGACTTTTCCCCTTTCAGTCAACTTTAAAGCAAAGGTGTCTAACGTATTTAAAATAAGATTTGCAAGGAGAGTTGGTCTGCACTCAAGCATATTTATCGTAGTTTGAGTTTTGAAGAAAGCCAACAGTGCGAGAGGTAATAAAATTGGATCAGCCTAAAAATAAAGAGATTTGTGACAATTTTTTCGAACGGAATGAAAGATAATAGAAAAATTAAATTCGGAAAGATTATTGAGTATTAAACAAAATTATAATTTCTGGAAAATATTAAAAGATAGGAGCACCGAAGCCATTGGCTAGTCTTTAAACCAAGAAGATCCATTCCCTCACTCACTCACTCAAAGGACATTTTGATGAAGGTACAAAAACATAGTTTTCTTAGGTACTGCGTTTCAATGAACATAAATAGTTTCCAAAAACAGCAAGAGAGCATCTTTAGGTCAGCATTTTTCAGAAGGTGCTCATAGTAGTAAGCAAGTGGTGTTTTTCAAAAAAAATACGAAATACTCAGCGAAACATTTTTTATGGATAATATGGCCATATCAACGTATTCTCGAATGTTCAAAGCATCCAAAACAAAAAAGTAGAAACACTATACTAAGACACAGCTTACTGTCCTGCTAAATGCCCAAACCACACTACATTACCACAACGACTTTTGGAAATGTGGTGTCAAATGAGAAGCGGTGGAAAAGATTCGATGCTCCGATCCGAATCAATTTCAATAGCGTCCATGTCATCAAAATGTCCCAAAAGTTGCGGGCTGCAGAATGAATCCAAGAAATAAGACGAACAGACAAGCGCAAATCGATTTAGAAATTGTTTATGAAAGTCTCTCTGGGCAGAACCTTAATATACTCTTGTACCACAAGTGATGTAAGATATAAAAACATTTTTTTTTTAAATATACCGGTCTTCTCTTTTAAATACGTATTCAATTGATAATTTAGTCCAGGTATCAGCCTGAAATTTTGTATAATCAAAATTAAATATTGCAAAATATTGCAAACATCGGTTCAAAATGGTGTTTGAACATATTAAATAAATGTGCAAAATTTGAATCGAACGGGCCTATTTTTTGAACATGCTCCTATATGATGTTACCGAAGAAGGCAAAACAGTCTAACTATCGATATTTTATACTATGCATATATCTTTCAAGGTCGATTTCAATTGATTGACACTCACACGCCCATTATTAATGATGAGAAAATTAAATTTGAAATCATTTGCTTGATTGTTGATAGGTGGTATGCAAGGTTCGTTTCAAGACGAATACAGATCGTTTGTTTGCTTTTCTTAAATAAAATTCTCCTCTCCGATCTATATAATTTACAATTTTTTATTACTTAGCGAGGAAATAATAATAATAAAAATAAATAGTTATTCAAAATTTATGACTCTTTCATTTTCTCTTTTATATTTTTACAAATTTTATTACTTAAAGCAATTTTAAGCTTTTATAATAAAAAGATGTAAAGCTAATCAGTTGATTATCTTTAATTGAACGCGATTCTCGGGAAAATGAAATCAGAAAAAGTAAATTCCCGATTATTATTGCAGATAATGCGAAATGTGAAATGCAAAATGCAAAATGGTACACTACTGTTCCCGTTTGCAAGCAAGAGCGCGTGCTATTGCTATTCACTTGACATATAAATGATTTTTTCTTATTATTTTCCATATTTTCCAGTTTTTAAGGGCATTTCATAAAGTTTATTGCTCTGTAAATAATTATATTTCATTTTTAATTCTTATAATTGAAGAAATGAATTCATTACCAACAAGTGTTTTTCTTTTCTTCTTTTTTCTTACTTATTTTTTTTTTTTTTAAATTCATATAACGGAAAAGAATTCTTCACGCGGAATTAAAATACACGTAATCCTATCAATTTCAACGCTCGGCGAACACTAAATAATCGAGAACTCACATTAAGCGAATCTTTTTTTTTGAGTCGCGTATACATATGAATAGAAAATTCTCTAAATAAAATCATCGTTTATCTCATTCAACGCAATCATCAGCATATTCAATCTCTTTAATGTACAAGTCGCGTGAATGTGAGCAAAGCCTTTAAAGCGAATATTACGAACACGCTGGATGTGACGCGACATACTATAACACATTAATCATTTAGTTTATTATGTTATACGCAACGGGGATGGCCGGCCAACTTCGATCTTTCTTTTCGATTTTCCTTATTTTTTGCTCTTTGCACTTGCACGACTGAAACTTGCGTTCTACGCGTGGGTGACATGAGTGATATGAAATATGATATGAAATAGGCTGAACGTTTAATAATAATGTTTATTAACTGTCAAAAGAAGTAAAGGCTTTGAATGTTAATTATGACATTGTGCATTGAAATAACGTTTGATTTGACACGAGTGGTCTACTGACCAACTCTGAGGTGTTTAGTAAAGAATTGGTTTGCCATTTCGAAACAGATAACTGTGCCTGCCTTTTAATATAACTGAGAGAAAGTTATATTCGCTTTGCATTAGTATACTGCGTCTAGTAAACAAGTTATTCTGGAAGCGTATTTATGGATTGATCGGGACCATGAACGGACTGATCCTGTTTTAATTTTTTAAACATTTTGCCAATGTTTAGGAGCTCATAACGATAGATCGATATGATAATACAAAGTCGCCAAGGGTAATATTAAAAAATGTATTTACTTTGACTTATAACACGGACGAGAAAACAAAGTTAATTGCATTAGTAGGATTTGGCAACGCCATTCAATTGAGATCAAGTAGACTTTACAATGTCGATTAATGTGGCGATGTAGATGTATATGTTTTACAGAAAATCCGTCTGCTTATGGGATAATAATGAATTTAGTTGATTAAAATTCAATATGTAATTATGTAATAATCTTTCAAAGACTTTCTTAGATAGGAAAGATAAAAATGACAATAAAAAGATATTCGCAATTATTTCTTTGCAAAAGTAAGTAAATTTTAGCTAATTTCCGATAACAAAAATCACAAGATTAGATCATTAACAACGTGAGTGATAATGCAAAGAATTTTAAAAAGTAATAACTTGAGAAATTTAAGGCTAGAAATTCGTTGTCGTCGTCGCTTTTGGCCTGTGATTGATGTTATGCCTTCGAAACCATTCAATTTATTAAAACACAAGAAGCTTAATGCATTGAAATTGTTAGATGTTTGAAGGGAGTCACCATGTGCGATTAAAAGGTGGAATGGGTAGACACATTTTCGAACTCAGCTTTCACGGTATCAATATCCAAGTTAATTTAGTGTTATAAGTAAAATGATCAAAGCGGAATATCCAAGGTAAGCAGATTTTACCTTGAAAGCAAGGCGTCCATCCATTAAGTTGGATTACTTTGTGGAAATTTGTAGGCCATGAGAAAAACAAATTTATCCACGATTACAAGTTATCACTAATTTTTTAATTTTTATAACGGCCGTCCAAGCATGTCGATATATACATTTTATCAAAATGTTTGCAACGTGCACAAGTTAGTTTTAAAAGCACGATAATATACACGCACACAATATAATATGATAATAATATACAATATGGTAATAATTAACAAGTATCAATTTTTGAAACGATCCAAGCTTATTCGTCTGCCCATTCATCCATCCGCCCATCTGCGTAGTATTTGCGGTAGCAATTGGCTACCGCGTCAATAAGCAGTTAAGAACGGCGACTATCAAATCGGCGTACCTTTCTTCAATCCCCGTATACATGTATACATATATGTATATATAGATATATTTAATATAACATAATATAATATAATATTATAAAATATAATATCTATACAATACAATATAACCTTATAATATATAATATAATTAATTATATATAATATATAAAACAAAACGGGTAGTATTGGTTGGAAACGGCGGGAAAAACAACTGCAAGTAAATTATTCAAAGATTGCTTGTACAATATCGGCCGCACAAAAAGGTCTATTCCATTGTATTAAAAATCTGACTGGTCCTGCTTTCGGGTCTTCAGAAGATTAATAGCTTCCAACTAATCTACCTTGCGTTTTGTTGGCCGACTATATTCAAAATATTTTGATGAGATCTATACTAAGTGAATGCTTCCAAAAACGTTACTGATACGATTTATAACGGAGCCTGTCCGTATCGTTGCCCGTGCATAGTATACAGCATATAGAAAATAAGTAAAATTCAATTGTCGTCGTCTTCTCTTATCAGATATTATCACTAACATCCAATTAATTTGGATGGCACTTTTTGGGTCTTTACTGATAGCTTAGTTCTCCAGTTTCACATTTTGCACGACTTTCCGTAAGCGTGACGTAAATTTCTCGTTTTGCGAAAATAAAAAACTTACGAAATTTAATGGCAATGGAAATGCACAAGTATTTACGTTACTTGTTATGCAAAATTTTAAATCACGCAACAGGTTATACATGGACTACAAATAATCGTTCACTGCTAGTAACATTTAGAATTGCATGACAATGTTCTAAGAAAGCAATAAACGAAAACACTATAACGAGACGCAGTCCAACATTTGATACCCGACAATCGTTTATATATCGGTTCCTTAAAACAAACTGTTACACGGGAAGTACTCGAAGAAATGATCCGGTTCGAATCATTTTCACTATTGTTCGTCCTTTGGTCAAAATTAATTGATATATCGAATTTCATGAAAATATCTCAAAATTTGGGACCATTAGATTGAACACAACAAGGACAGACGGACTGACACGCTTGAATCGAATCAGAAAATAATTTTGAAGGTAACTGGGTGTTGCACACATCCGCACATACTTAGTCTCTAACAAAATATTCATATAATCTGTGAAGAGATTTCATGACATTTGGGACAATTATGGCCTAATTTCCAATTGCAGTCTTGCAGATTGCCTTTATAGATTACCTTGTCCCTATAATTTTTTGTTTTCTGCACTCGAACTTTAGCCTATTTTCAAAATTAACCTAAAATCATGAACTAAACCATGTTATGTAGTTAGTTAGGTTTCCGGTTTCTATTATAATTTTGTGACCAAGAGTAGACGATAGTCGGCAAAGAAATAAATGGTTGAGCACATTTGAATCCAAACAGAGTTTTACGCATCTTGTATACTTCATAGCATGTTTGATGCTTATTTTTGAGTGCTATATAAGGAAGGCGAAATCTAGTAAAGTCTCGTTATTCTGTTGGGTTTTTAGTAATGAGAGAGTCATGAGGTAGATGCGATTAAAGAATGCGTTTATGTCTCTTGCTCTCACTTCTTTGTCCATCATTAACAACAAAAACAATTCGTTTGCATACAGAATGAATTTGATAAATCTTTTTCTTGCGGAATGTATAATATTTTCACACATTTATACACACACACACACACACACACACACACACACACACACACTCAAATTCTTTTCTATACTTAACATTATTAACTTACTTTTTCCTTCTGCCCGAAAGTTCGAAATCATCGTTCTCATCGCTATCTTCATTTTTGTGATACTGTGTTGCGACGACGTTTCTGTCAGGTATAGATATTGTGATCGTGTTAGGGGTATCATCTATAACCTAAGACGAGATAAGGAAGAATGCAATGTCAATATGGTTAAATGTAATTTTAATTATACTCTTCTCTGATAACGATGAAATTGTACGAATTCTTTAAAATGGACTTTTGGCTGCTTCAACATTTCACAATAAAAAATTGAAAATTAATAAAAATGCGCTTATTACTAATAAGTGTATTGATGCACGCTGGACCGGCAGGATACTAAGTTGCATCGCATATATTTCACGTGCAAGAATAGTTAAGAGATAAAGTTCTCATCCAACTGTGAAATTGTATTTACCTGAAGTGCGACATTCAAATGTGTTTTTCCACAAACGAATGTAGATAGCTGTTGATATACTAAATCCTTTGAATCGTTTGTAAGACGCGGTTATACAGATCATACATGAATCATCGTCATGAACCTATTTAATTAGGTCCGTTCATATGCGGTTTAAACTTTTAGTGTCGGGAAATTGAGATGAAGATGAGTAGAAGCTTTGCACATAGATCCGCGTCTTGACGTGTCATGGATGATTTAATTTAGTCAAAAGCTGATATAATGTTGAAAAGAAATCAAAGTTTTCAATTTACATTTAAATAGATTGTAATTAGCTTTGGTTTGCTCTTATGTGCTCGACCAACAACAAACTTGGATTAGGTTAGATGATAGGTTAGCAAAATTCTTCATAACATGTATAAATAATTAACTGTTTTGCCTCTTATATAAATTTATATAATTTTTTAATAAATTTGTAAAGTGTGCATCAAACTCCTTTCTGTCTACTCCATGTCTGTCCGTTTGTCGTCGGCATTCTCAAATTCAGAATTTTGTCTAGAGAAAAGAACTTGACCTCGAGCATTTTGTTTCTTTATCGTATTTCAGTCAGGTGCAGATCGACGTTAAGCTTGAAAGGGCGCAGTGCTCGCTCATAATTTATAGGTTTTAGGTAATTCGGATAAGGCCAGATATAAATTCTTTTTTTTTTTTTTTTTTTTGGTATCTAAACTACTCTTTTAGATATATTATACCTATGGCTGAACAGGACGATTGAAAAAATTTATGTTTTTAAATATTGAGGTTTGTTTTAAAATTTGTTTTCAATAGACAAACATGGCCGAGTTAATAAATTCATTTGTACTATATACTTCGCTGACATGTCCATTCAATGACGGTCGGACAAAATTCATTCTTGAATCAACAAATTGAGAGCAGTGCATAAATTTATAAAGAAAGATCATCACAGTCGTAACCAAGCTTTTTTTTAAACATCTGTATAGTTAAGAGGCATAACTACATGAGCATGAAAGACGATACGAGTCCTTGTTATTGGGCCGGGAGAAATTCTTTGGAGGAAAATTACAGAAAATGTCAACGTTGTCGTTAACTTATCCTTCTTGCAAAAACAGCTGTTATTATAAACTTTTCATCATTTATTGAACCGTTCGCATTCAACTGTCAGAAGGTCGATATTTGGCAAATGAAATCTAAGCCCGAACAAACACTCACCCCTTACGGCTAACTAAATTAGTAAATAATTTCTATTAGGTTGTTGTGACATCAAGTACAATAATCCTGTTCCTTTACATATCTGAACTGCAAGAAAATTAACCTCAACGAAGGTTCAATGCATTTATCTAAAACCCTTCTGCTTTTTATTTGCCAAATATCACCGCAATGAATATTGTATGCGAACAATTCAGAAATAGATCAAAATTTAAAATGAATTCTTCTCTTGAAAGACATTGTAGAAGTTTCAAATTTAGAAAATATTGCGACTAAGTCGATCAACGAATGCTTGAACGGACAAGTAAGAAAATTATATTCGATGATGAGTAAGTAAGAAGTAAGTAAAAAGAAAAAACATGTATGTGCAAAACATGGAGAAGCTTTTATTTTATTGTGTATCTGTGTTATAGTCTAGCATAGTAAGAAAAAAACCTGGAAGGCAGAGGTGTTCTCCGATTAGGTTCGATGTGCTCTTCTTTTTCTTCTATTTGGCATATTTTCAAAACCAATCTGTTTGCAAGAAATCTTAACGTTTCTGCTAAATTTGAATATGACCAGACGGTCAGACGAACATATCTAAATTGACTACGAATTTGATACTGCTCAAGGCTGTGTATATTGTGGGCCATCCGAAGCTTCTCTCTAGGTGTTGCAATCGGTTTGACAAAGTGAACATACCATCCACCTCCGAGTATTCCTCTGCAAGCTCGCAACATTTCAAAGCGTTGCACTTAAACATACCCATTTAATGCTTAATGCGTAAATATATGGGGGTTGGCATACCCGTAAATAATATAAAAAAAAACTAAAAGATTTTTTTATTGTAGGCCTCAAGCATATAAGTTTCCATATTCAAAACTGGTGATGGTACACGGAAATTTATGACAGCTATAGGACCTCAACTTGAATAGCATTCATTATTCTCGCTAACATTTACGGACAAAATTCAAGTCACCCTGTAATTAAAAATTCTCAAGGAAACCTATTCCAATCCTTTCGTAAACTGTGCGGATTTAGTGCGTACGTCCAATTTCGCCTTTGTCACAGAAGTCTGTATTCTTGCGACGTTCATAGCAAAGTCTTTCACTTGTTTGCTCATATTTGCAACTATCTGTCACAGTATATCAAGCGTTGCTGGAACGCGGATTCGAAACCTAGCGTTGCATTGCATATTGTTAAATCCATCACCGAAGAATAAAGATTATGTTAAGCATGGTCGTCTGTCCGTCTACGTATCATCTGTTTTAAACGTTCTCTTGGCCGCAAAACTGGAGCCATCGACTGCAAATTTGGCAGAAATATTGGAAGTTCTTCCACGCGGGTTAGTATTGAAAAGGAACCGATCGGTCAAAGAACACGCCCACAACACCACGTAAACTGAGAAAATCTCAGTTCTTCAAAAGGAATAAAAAATTGATTTTTTCCTCACTCATTACTCACAAACGATAGAAGTTAAATATATACAACGCATATTATATGGTCAATGCTGTAGCACCCGTACAAAAATAGAAAAATTGAACGCGCCTACCCAATATTATAGTGAGTCAAAATATAATTTTTTTTCAATACGTTTGTGGGACGCAGAAACAAACTTCAAAAATCCCCTAAAGTTAATCGAATTCTTGGCCAGTTTCAAATTTGGAATGCAACTAATCAAGTCTGTCTGTTTGTCCGACTCTGTTCGTCTGTGCAACTGTGTAGTATTTGTGGTAAACGAAAGCGAAGACATCGCCTAAAAATTTGCCTAAGAATCTGGATGTGACTTAAACTTTTTCAAGCACACGTCTACAACGACCACACCCCTATACTACTATTTTGAAAATGGAAAAAATCAGCTTCACCAGCTCCATATTATAGCGCATGAAAATTTAGTTCCTTTAATTTTTTTTTGGATAAGGGTGATGGGTATAAAAGATTCGGTCACGACCGAACATAATTTGCTTATTTGTTTTTAAATTACATTGGCTAATGCATATCTTTTTTTGTATTGATGGCGGATTGTGAGGATACAATTATTAAAAATTATAGTATATAGTATATAGTTTGCATCCTAGATTATACGAAGTGTACAGGAAATACTTTGGTGTGTGAAATGTTTGCATGAAAGGTTCCGTCATATATTTTTACTTTTTTCAAGGTTATGCCGTCGCATATTTTAACTTCTCAATTTGTGGAAGTGGAGGTTTGTCAATAATTAGTTAGGGAGGAGAGTATAGGCTTCCAAAAATGACTGAAAGTTATGCAACTTATCTGAGCAAAAGTCGCCTTCAACCATTTACTTATCGATAAATGAAAAACTGAATACCTAACGAAAACGTTGTACATTTTTCTTGACACTAAGTTGATTAGGTAACGAAATTATTGCGGTGGGAAAATTTGGCATATGGTCACTGTTCGTTTCACTTGGGATTAGAAAAAGTAATCAATTCGCGAACACCGTTAACCGTTAATTACTTGCATAACTTTTGGAAAAGCATGAACTGAAATATAACGCGTACGTCGTCCTATTTTTAGGTTTGGTGATCAAGCATTGTACAAACGTGCAGACATGTTTGGCTTAATATATCCATACATAGTTCGCTGACAGGTTAATCTAAAGCAGATGCGCCAAAATATATCCTTTCCGTGACAAACATCATGGCCGTTAGCAAGTATTGAATAACGCAGGAACGCTAGGACAACGGCGTATGATGTTTTGGTTATAAAAAAAAAAGAAAATGGCCGAAAGCGTAAAGGTTGTCATTAATTTATGCCATAAAGATTAGATTTATAAAAAACAAAACCTTATATAATTAAATAAAAAAATAAAAAAAAGGAAAGGAAGGGCAGTTGAATTTTTTTTTCGGGCGAAAAGAAAAATTATGGGAATTTTAGAAATTTTTATTTTATTATACCTGCCTTATCCAATATATTATTAACACTTTCGTCACTAGAATAATCGAAATTCTTACAAGTAATCATAGCATTTTTGTAAGTCCTATTAAGAGTTGCGGTTTTAAGTTTTATAGGATTTCTGCTATCGTTATGTGCAATTATTTTCGATTCGTGTAAATGATTCGCGTAATTGTTTTCAATCATGTTAACAAATTGGTTGTTATTCGAAAGTAATTTATTTTTTACTTATGGCTCTTATTTTATTTATTTGGATAATTGAAAGAAAATTTTTGAATTTTCATTATTTTTCTAAATTTAATTTTTAATTAATTTTATATATTTTTTATGAAAAGCTTCACATAACACTTAACACAAAGTAACAGCTGCACTGGACAACAATGGACTGATTTAAGCTTCAGTTCACACCGTAGACAATATGCTGTTTTAATTATTTAATCACTGTACAGTGGGACAGATCTATAGCAAATCTTATTTAAAAAAAAGTAATAATAATCGTACCAAAAATTGTTATAAAGTTTGCTGGCAGGACGGGGATTTGGTAAATCTGCTATTATGTTTATATCGGTCAAAGATCCTGTAAAGTGTATGGGTCATTATGAGAAATCCGCGTAGGTC